AATTTTTTTCTAAACTCAAATCATTTCCCGAAACCTTTTTGAAATCCAAAGAAAACACTGTATAGATAAAGTATCAGTTAGGTCCTTTGACAAATACCATTCATGATACACATTTTCCTCAAGAAATTTTTCTATAAACACGCTTATAAAATCTAAAATCGCAAGGGTTGTATGATTTAATCCACATCCTTTAAAAATAGGCTAAGAATATGGTAATAATATACTGAATTAATATTTAAGACAGTATTCATCTGTCTACTTAGTATATAGAAAGTGATTTCAGATTTTTTAATAAAATCATATTTTCACAGCTTTTACACAAAGTTGACATTTTAAAAATTAAAATATTTTCCTGCAAGGTTGCTCAGTATTTACATTACCACCTAAGGAACAAAGAATTCTTTCATTTAAGTCCTAAGAAGGACTTGCAAACTCATTTTCTATGAAAGTTTACTTTGAAAACATTAGACTTTTCACAAAGCAGCAGCAAATAATCTGAATTTATTTAGTTCTTTTTTTTTTTTAATCTGAAAGCACTTTCCAAACATGCATTTCATTCTCTTCCCCAAATCATAGTGAAAGCAGTTTGGGACTTTAACATAAACAATTTGGATGTCTTTTTAATTTTATTGTATAGTTGCATGTTAGGGCTTCTGATAAGATGTAAGTTATAGGACACTTTCATAATCAATTAACTCATACTGTCAACACGTCAACCACAGAGCCACATTCAGAGACTCTGGTCAAGACACTGGACAATATCTTTACCGGAACGATGACCACAGGGAAAGGACAAGATGACAGCTATGATGGGCCATGCACTGAGCAGTGTCAGAAAACCAGATGCTCTTTGCTTTTAAGGTCTCTACATTCTCAGAGGTCAAAGACATTCAAATATGAGATAAGAGCCTAAACACATTCTATGTCTAGTGGTAGACACCAAAAAGAGCAAATCCTAATTATTTTCCAGATAGGGAATCCCTAGCAGAGACCTAAACTGAAATTTAGTTCTTTAGACTGAAACCTCAACTGCACTTAAAATGTATGTGTAGTTTTGAAACAGTGGTCTTGGGGAATGTATACTGTAGAATCTAAAAAATAAATAAATAAATAAATAAATAAATAAATAAAGTCACTGGTTTCAATTCCATTTAAAAACGTGAATGACCTTAAGCCAATTCACGTGATTAGGGTCTCAATCCCCTTACCTGCAGCAGAGAAATGACAACACTCCCCAGGACACTATAAGGGATTAAATCAGCTGAAATAAGAAAAGCCCTGGAAAAACACAGAATTGATGCCCAGGTGCTAATAATTAACGCACAGCGTTTAAAGACAACATCCCACAATAAACGAGCAATCAGCAAGCTTAACGGAGCTTGCTTTTGAAATTTAATTCATCAACCATCCTCCTCATGCTTAAATCAAGTGCTAGCTTTAACTTGGCTAGATCACAAAGTTTACATTAAAATCTTTTCCATCGGCCAGAAAAACTGTGTGGTCCTGCTTGTTTAACTCACAACTGAGAGACAAAAATCCATGTAATGTTTCAAAATCTCCAGCTGTAAATGTGATGCAGATGAAATACTGCAACTAAACCCCAGCCATTGTTTCTTTTTCCAAAGTTCTACCCTCCTTTAAGATTGATAACAGCTAATGACTAAGCTTGGTAACACTTTCATCTGTCCCAAGCAGGAGCATTGTCCAAGTTTAAATCTCCATGTGACAACTCAGAATCCACAGACTCTTGGAACTTGCAAAAGCAATGCAAGAAGGAAAAAAGCATGCAGTAGCCCCAAACGTCTGCAAAAACTAACCAGGAGAACGGCCTCATTGGCAGCTGGAGCATGTCAGGGCCTGTTTGGAAGTACTGGTTCAAGGAATCGACTGCTTGCAAGGCAAACCCCAGGCTGAGAGGAAGCAAACAGCTCACGCTTTATGGTGAGGGAAGAATCCATTTATCTGGACTTCATTCAATGTCAAAACGAAGGTGGTTGTTAGAATGTGGTTAAGACACGCCACAACCACCTTTAAAAACAAACCCATGCAAACCACTGTGCTAGATACTGTAAGACAAGACCTGTCCTTTAACCTAGTCCTGGAACAATGCCGGCAAAGGCAAATATAGAGGCGACATCATTCAAAAGTCATTACATAAAAAATCCAGACACATTTCAGAATGCCAGGCAATGAGGATCAAAAGCACAGTGAGATTATCAACAAAATCACTGCCCCTTGAGACGTTACCTACTATGGTGCTAAGTATTATCTCCTTTAATTCTCATACCAACCCTGAGGCTAGATAAGCTATGGTCCCCATTAGAGAGAGGAAGAACTAAGATTGAGAGAGAGTAAGTATTTGCCTACCACAGTGCTAAAAAGATATATTCTTCAAAGCTTGAGGCTTTACATATTTGTGCTGTAATCTTCAACTTGAGGCTTCCTACAAATCTTAATAATGGTAATTGTAGTAATAATGTATTTAAACACAATAAAAATTTTTAAAAATAAAAAAACAAAAATAGTGTTCATAAAAATTCTAAAATATTACTTAACTCAAACTAATGCCAATTGCCATCTGACAAAAACAGAGTGAAGGCTATCCATGCACCTGGTGACCAGTATCCCAAAAGGAGAGTGGGGCCTCAAGGTGTCAGCTCTCACCTCATTTCCCATGCTACAGTGCCCCCCTCACTTGGGCCTGGCTTTCTTGGTCTGGAGTCCTTTTATTTCTCCCAACTGGGTGAAGCAGGGTACCATCCAGCTGTGTAGTGCTGAAGGGGGGGGGGGGGTGTCTGGGCTCCACTTCTTACACCGGATTTCACAAAAAATTTGTTTTTAGTCATACTTTTACTCCAACGTCATCACTTCCTGCACCTTCCAGAGGTTCTAGGGTTTAAATCTGGTTCTTTCAGTACCTGCTTAGAGTTAGCCTTCTCAGATTGCCTGAAATAGTTGCTAAGAGTCCATCTGTTTTCAGGGACCAAAACACGGCTGCTCTTGTCTCTTTTCTTGTGGTTGTCATTGTTGTTGTTGTTTAATCCTTGGGGGTTTATGCATTGACTATCCTATCGTTTTTGTGGGATTTCAAAAGGGAATGAACTGAAGAGCATGTGTCTCAGCAGTCTTCTTAAACGGGTGGCATCAGTTACAAAGACTTTTTATAAAGACTTCAGACCCATTGCTTTTCCACAGTCTTACCTGAAAGGACAGGGACTATTATTCAGACAGCTATTGTCTTTCTTCCCTCACTTGAAAGGATACTTATATAAAAACTGCTTATTTCTTTTACTATTACCCCAGATACCAGTTATTGATAAATGCTGAACAATGTGGACTAAAATATTCATGAATTTCAAATCAACTTCTTCATTTATTTATCTCAGGACAAAGAAAAAGTCAAAGCATGTCATAAAAAGTGGCTTCTGAGGGTCACTGTCTTTCAACTACCAGCCGAAGTTTGGTTTTAAAAAGGAAGCTTTTCTGTTACATGAAGAGAAATAGGGCAGTTGCTTTATTTACCAAAGAGTCTGTGGTAAACTTCTGTTACCTACTGGGGCACCTGGGTGGCTCAGTGGGTTAAAGCCTCTGACTTTTGGCTCGGGTCATGATCCCAGGGTTCTGGGGGAGCCTGCTTCCCCCGTCCCCTCCCCGCCTGCCTCCCTGCCTACTTGTGATCTCTGTCAAATAAATAAATAAAATCTTAAAAAAAAAAATTCTGTTGTCTACTGAGTAAGACAAGAGTATCTGTTAACAAAAAACAGTGTCAACAGCCAATACTTAAGGTTCTACAACATGAAGAGTTCCATATTCTCTGGCCTAGTTAAATTTAATGTTTTTCTTTTAAAATTTAGCCTTAAAAATTAGTCGGGAAAGACAAAATTCTATCCAAAGTTTCCTGTTAACTCATTAAAGCTTAGAATTTTTAATTACCAAGTAGGAAACACACTTTACAATGCAGATATGCTGTAGCATTATTTGAGTCAAATGTCAGTTTTTGAAATACAAAGTAATCTCACAGAATAATATGAAAGCATATGCATTAGAACGGTATTTAGTGTCACTTGATACTTTAATTTCAATATAATCTGATTAAAATCAGGAAAAAGAATCTTCTGGGGGAACAAGTGCTGGATATTATTTTATACTTTTATTATTTTTATAATTTACTCTTCCACACAAGGCAGAAACTGAAAAGTTTGGCATCAGCTGCTCATTACAGGTTGGGAACAAATTCAGTTCCTTAGGACACAAAAGCACATTGATGGATATTTTTATTTTACTCCGCAGAAATTGAAGACAGCAGAGTTTTAGCTTTAAAATTCCTTCCTAAAGAAATACGCTGTTTTAACTTTGCAATGGGAAAAAGAAAAGCATGTTGCAAAGTTCTTTAGCAGACACCACGGAGGGAAACAAAACTCTTTCTCACCAAGTCCTCAAGACTCCATATTCCAAATACTCAAGTCCTCGCTCTTAGACCCTCCCCCAGTTTCCCTCACAACCAAAGGTTGTTCTATTATCCATGTATTTTTTATTTTTTTTTACTTTTCTTTTATTGTGTTATGTTAGTCACCATACAGTACATAATTAGTTTTTGATGTAGTGTTCCAAGATTCATTGTTTCCAGTGCTCCATGCAAAACGTGCCCTCCTTAAAACCCACCACCAGGCTCACTCATCCCCCCGACCCCTTCCCCTCTAAAACCCAAATAATTTAAAAGGAAGAAGAGGACAAGTGTGAGGAGAAGAGGCAGGGACACAGAAGGAGTGAGAGACCTCATATGTAACTGTCTGTGGTGACAATTCATTACACACTTGCCATCCGTCTATACATCAACAACCCGAAACATATCTTGAACTTTATTTCAAGGGATCAAGATAAAAGCCAACCAAATCAATGAGAGACCTCATATTTCTAAGGGTCTTCCCTTTGAGATAACATAGATCTTTGTTAGTAAGGAATGTCTCAGCATGACCAAAGGCCAACTAAGATGAACTTACTTTTTGCTTGCCTCACAGACATCTGTAATGTTGGAGAAAAGATGGTGACTCTCTGTTTTGGTCATTGTATCACTCAGTTCTTTAGAATTTTTAAACATTCGTATCAAAATCTCCAAGCTGAGTAAATAGGAATGTTCAGAGGATATGACTTCAAAGATAGCCTGGTATGAAGGAAAAAGAAATGTATTATTAATACATTAATACTGTGATTGAAGAACTAAATGTAGCTTTCATAAGTCTCCTACAAAAATAACATATCTTGAAAAGCACAGAAAGATAAGCATGAAGAAAAATGCCTCACCAAACTACTGTCTTTTTTATCTAAGGCACATAAACCTCAAGAAATAGAGTCACTGCCCACAGTATAAAAATGAAAAAGCGAAAGCATTTAGGTGACCTGAGATTGCATCCTGAAGTCATGCTTTGTCAAGTACAATCTATGGAAGGAAAGCTAGGACACATCATAAAACCTCAGTGTGACATTAATTTACCTTTGGAGTCATGTCTTCCAGGTCTGTTTTCAAAGTATGCTGCTCTGGGACACGAAGGATTTATAGACATCACTTGGGATCCCGAGAACATTTTCACGAATACATTTCTTCGCTCTCCTCCTAAACGGGCCCCCCTTCTCTAACCCATATTTTAATCTAACAAATTTGCAGTCAATTACAGCAAAGAGTCTGGGTGTAGCAGAAGAGCCTGACTGTATCTATCCTCAAAAGGTTATCAGGCACAGGAATTCTTTTACATTAAACTCATACAACTGAAAGTGATTCTGTTCATTTCACAAGACACCTGCTCTGCTCCCATCACTATCTCAAGGAGTGAAGGACCCTCTGCAGAAATGCGTGGTGTCAGGCACACAGTCGTTTACATGATAAGTGTTCATTAATGTTAAAAGCCTGGGGCACCCGGGTAGCTCAGTGGGTTAAAGCCTCTGCCTTCAGTTCAGGTCAGGATCACAGTGTCCTGGGATTGAGCCCCGCATCAGGCTCTCTACTCAGCGGGGAGCCTGCTTCCCTGCCTCTCTCTCTGCCTGCCTCTCTGCCTACTTGTGATCTCTGTCTGTCAAATAAATGAATAAAATCTTTAAAAAAAAAAAAGATAAAAAGCCAACCCACATATGTAGGCACCAACACCCTGTGTAAGGAATTCACCTAGCTCCCTAACAGATTCAACTTCAGATCCTCCAAGAATGGCAACACAGGGATTCCTCCTCAGGTAGGCATGGTCAATACCCATGCAGGCCAGAGAGACACATCCTTCCTAGATCTCTTCCTGGTAACACTGTGATCTTCACCTTGGCCTCCAGGGCTCCTCCCCCCTCAAGCCCTTGGCCCAGAAGGCACAGGAGATTCTTCCCGTAAGTCCCAGTGCTATGGCTGAAGCTGGGTGGAGGCAAGCAGGCACAGCCAAGCGGACCCCCCAGCTGCTGGTAAGAAGTCAGGTTAATGGTGCCAGTCTCAATGTTCATCTCCATTTCAGGATCTATAAGCTTTAAAGGAAGTCTTACTTAAATGTGCTAGTCTAGCTTCAGTCATGTTCCAGGGACTTAAATGACATAATCATCTAATGAGTAAAGGGAAAGAACATGAAGAGTCTCACTTGACCTGTATCTTGTACAATTCTATCCAATAAACACAATTATCCCTGGGAAATGTAGTGCAAACTGAAGAAAACGGTCACTTCCTGACCAAAAACAGGGGATGTCACATTGTTGATAGATATGACACCCTGAATGACAAAATATTTTCAAAAGCAAAGGCTTTTGTAATCAAATGCAAAACACTAAGATTTAAACAAAAAGACTGCATGAACTACATAGAACAGATCACATGAAAAGATGACTAAGTAGTAATTTAACATAATAGACTTACTGTAATAACTGTTAAAGCATCCTACAATAGAACCATCAACTACTTAAAAGCAAATTGGGTCAAACTTTCTAAAAACAGCTATACAGGAATAGAAAGGAACCGTGAAGTTAGATTTGCTGCTGTCATTAGTTTTTTTTAATATCACAAATCTGAATATTTTCAAAATATAAAGGAAATAAGTATGTTCAAATAAAAAAGATCTAAAAGAATACAGGGATTAGGACCCTGGAGTAGCTCTTGAATTTGTCCACAAACATTATTTATGCTGCAGTGTTAATAATGAAGAAAAAAACATACCACCTACTGTCTAAAATTTGGACAAAACATTTTTTTAAGGTAATATTTATACAGTGGAATACTATATGGTGGGTTAAATGAATGATCTGGATTAATATACATTAACATAGACAAATCCCAAAACTGGGCTGAGTGGCAAAAGTAAAGAAAAAATATGTTCCCAATCATCACTCATCTACATTTTAACACTCACATATCACACAAAAATATGTACATAAATATATGTAATACATAATTTTAAAACATAGATTGAGGGGTGGCTGGGTGGCTCAGTCGATTAAGTGTCTGCCTTTGGCTCAGGTCATGATCTCAGGGACCTGGGATTGAGCCCTGCATCAGGCTCCCTGCTCAGCAGGGAGCCTGCTTCTCCCCTGCCCCTCCCTGCCACTTGTGCATTCTCTCTCTCTCTCCCTCAAATAAATAAATAAAATCTTAAAACAACAACAACAAAAAAAAAAAAAACCACACAGATTGGATAGGTACACATCAATTCATAATTATAGTTGCCTCTGGGGAGGTAAGGAAGGAAATAGCACCAAGGAGAACATAAGCCTTCTACTTTACTGAAAGTCTTGTTTTCTTTAAAAAATATGAGGAAAAAATTATAAATGTAATACATTTGTTAATTCTCAGTGATGGGTACACCAATATTATATACTATTCTGTTTTTTTAAACTTAAACAAAAAATGACAGTATAAGTTCCCCTTATTTTTTTTGTTATTTCATGCCAATAAAATAAAAATATAGTGCATGTCCTTTGTGCAATTTACAGGCATGTATACACATAAATGTAGTAATATGCAAACAGGAGAAAAGTGTTTTTAGAATTTCACTACCTTATTAAAATGAGTAATTTCCCTAAACAGCATTTATTTAAACTTCAAGTTGTATAATCCTATTACTATCTGTTTTATTTTTTATTAAGTAAACCTTTATTCTGGTATAATTTTAGATTTATTGAAATCTTGCAAAGAGGGAACAGAGCTCCTATTTCTTCATGCAGCTTCCCCTAACCAGGGCACATGACATAACCATGGTACATCACATTTTATCTGTAGACAAACGTACATACTTTACTCAGATTTCACCAGTTTTCCCACTAATATCCTGTTTCAATCTGGGATCTAATATCTCTTTCATTTTTCAACATATTTCTTCCAGTTTCAATACCTCGACTAGGGGCTTTGTTGTTTAAGCTAAAATGACATTAAGGTGTTTTAAGTTTTCTTTCCTGGTTCTTAGATGTAGTTTTATTTGACAATGAACACATACCTCTTAACGCAAAAAGAACAAAATGAATACGTTTTCAAAAGAAAACACTGAACCAGTGCACACAGTAGGTGAAAGCACTCACTCTTTGGAGCTTTAAAAGTATCTGCTCAGTAGAAAACATACCTCCTGCCTCTTTCTTTCCTCTTGGCTAACTGTCTGTGATAATCCATTTCTTTTCACCTAGAGGAAAAAGCAAAATAAAGTTGAGCTCATTTACTTCAACAACTTATTATGTAACGCATAACTCCATGCCCTTTGAGAAATGAATTATAGGAAATTATGCAAAATGTGTGAATTCAGCACATATTAATTTGGGGGCCCCTCAAATAATAATTAATCACAATAATAAATTAGCATCAACACAAAAGAACTGCAAAATGTCTAGAACACTATCCCATCAGGTTGTGCTAATCTGTTCTAGTCTTAGGTCTAGATATTCCTAAAATGCTTATCAAATTAATTTCCCAAATCATAAATGAAGAAATCTAACAATAAAGAAAGTGAAGCCACCCCTCCTGAGAGTTTACTGCCCTGGATCACACATTGAAAAAGCAACTATAACACTATTTTTCACCCAGACTCCACGGAATACCTGTGCTCGCCATAGCAACCCAAGCAAACAGGAAAAAAAAACCCCTTGGCCCCAGTTTCAGCATTCTTTTCAGCACAGTGACACTTGACAAAGAAGAGAACGCCTGGGTGGTTCAGTCCATTGAATGGCAGAAGGAATCTTGATTTCCGCTCAGGTCATGATCTCAGGGTCCTGAGCCCTGTATCAGACTCTGCACTCAGCCAGGAGTCTGCTTGAGATTCTCTCTCTCCCTTTCCCTCTGCCTCCCACACTGGCTCACATGCTCTCTCTCTCTCAAAACTAATTGATTAATTTGGCAAAGAAGGATGATAGTCTTTGGAGAAACCACCAACACCAAAGACTGATAGTCTTTGGAGAAACACCAATACCCACAAGAACCAAGAATACCAGTACCATACTTGGAGTAACACAGTTGTACCACTGGCTGAATCACTGCAAGCTCTACCTAAATTACCACACATTTTTATTTGATTACTGCAGTGCCTACCATTATTCAACTTTTTTTTTTAAAGATTTTATTCATTTGTGAGAGAGAGAGAGAGAGCGCATGCACACACACACAAGCTGGGGGAGGGGCAGAGGGAGATAAGGAGCAGACTCCCCACTGAGCAGGGAGCCTGACGTGGTACTCGATTCCAGGACCCTGGCATCATGACCCAAGTCAGAGGCAGATGCTTAACCGACTAAGACACCCAGGTGCTGCACATCATTCCGGCTTCTAAACCAGAGTGGAGGCTCTGTGCTTAACAGAACAGCATGAAAGGGGAGAGTCCTCCCCTTTTGTGAGAAACTAATAACAATAAAATATAACTCAGGTCTTTAAATACTTATAAAAAGCACAGCGATCTGGACGCCTGGGTGGCTCAGTTGGTTGAGCGTCTGCCTTCAGCTCAGGTCATGGTCCTGGGATCGAGTCCCCCATCAGGCTCCCAGCGTCATGGGGAGTCTGCTTCTCCCTCTGACCTCCCCTCTTGTGCTCTCTCTCACTCTGTCTCTCTCTCTCTCAAAATAAATAAATAAAAATCTTTAAAAAAAAAAAAAAGCACAGCGATCTGATATCCACCATCCTCCATTTAAAAATAAATATGCTTCCCATAACAGCTGGAGATTCTTCTTTCTCCTTAGAAATCAAATTTCTATGTCAAAATTTTCCTCCAAAATTTCCTAATGTAATTCTATCTGTTAGGGTATCTTATTAATCACCCTAGCATACCCTGATGCAAAATACATTTTTCAACTCAATTTTCTAAAATTTCCTGTGACCACTGAGCTAAGTATAAAAGAGACTCTTCTGGATTATATGATCACCACGAATATCATTAATAAACTGTGACCAAAATAACACAGTAACTTCTGATTTTAATGCATCAGTCTCTAAAAGTAAATTTTACTGAGAATGAAACTCTTAGTAAGGTGAGGGGTTGTGGTGGCTTCGTTAAGAGGCTTCACGGAAACCAATATTTTAAATTGACCCCCCATATCTTGTACCCCAGTGGACTGGCACCTTGGAACAAGGCACCACACTAAGATTTGAAATGGGTAAGAGGAACATCTTTCTTCAGTAAAATTGTAAAAAGGACAAATGTGAGAGGAGACTGGAAAAAATGCGGGGGTAACACTAAGCACACGCAGTCTCAGTTTTGGAAAGAAAGATAGCCGGAACATAAAGATTGAAAAAATGTATCCTTAAAATGATCCCTGTCCACTATGCACTGTCTTCATGAATCCCCTGTGGTGTAAACCTTAGTTTGAAGACCGTGGGAGCATAGGGCCCTACATTGTGCTGTCATGGAAATGAGAACATATGGTATGGTCTCTATCCTAACTTTCGGAAAAGAACAGAACGTAGTACAGTAGTGTAGAAAGAGTTCTAAATTGGTGGTAAAATCAGCGATCATTTATGGAACATTTACTGTGTGCCTAAATGTGTGGTAAGCATTTTTACATCCCCTTTCCCATTGAATCCTACTAAAAACTCACGAAAGTCAATACTATCCTTACCCCAATTCAGGTGGGGATAATAAGTGAGGCTTAAGATCTAAGATCACACAGCTAACAGGTAGTGAGGGCAGGATTTGCATCTCTGCCTATGTAACTTCAGAGCCCATACACACTCGCTCTCTAAGGTTTATTTACTTTAGAGAAAAAGAGAGTGGGGGCCAGAAACAGAGGGAGAAGGAGACAGAGTCTTAAGCAGACTCCCCACTGAGTGCAGAGCCCCAAGCAGGGCCTGATCCCATGTCCCTGAGATTCTGACCTGAGCTGAAAGCAGGAGTCGGAACTCCAGCCAACTGCACCACTCACGTGCCCCAGGTGGCTGAGGGAGCCCTGTTCTCTGCGAGAGGCACTCCATTTCTAGGGTTGGGCAATCATTACTAAAACTCCTTCTAATGCCAGGCCTGTATCAAGTCTCCATATGTTCTTTTTCATCCACCCATATTGTGGAATGTTCTTAGTCTTACCCACCATCCTGACCCGGGGTGAGCCTGTCAGCAAGAGTTCATGGCTAAAAAGGCCTCTTCATCCATTTTAATAAGGGAGGGGACCAGCCAGAAGAATGAAACTGTTCAGCACTACTCCCATTTGGTTAACCCTGAACAGGAATTTCACAGATTTCCTTCCTGACACACAGTCCTGGCAGATTGATACCCAGGCGCCATGCCCACGATCTCTGCAGGTGAGATCACCAGCAAGAATTTCCTTGCACTGGCCTTGTCATCCAGAATTACTAATGAGTTCAGACCCAGAAATCTTAAGAGAAAGACAATGGGCCATGTGGACTTACAGACCTACACAGGTGACAGCGAGTTTACTGAGGGATTAAGAGTACTTTATCCCATTAAGAAGAAGAAGGAAAAAAAAAAATCCCCAGACAAAATAATTTCTTTTTTAAGGGGGGAAAAAGGTAGTTCTGAAAAAGACAAAGTGCTAACTCCCAGAATTATCATATTTCATTAATACTAATACAAACAATGATAAAATACTCCTTTCACCGAAAAGTCATCCATAGGAAACCAGCAACCCATACAAAATACAGAGACAGAAAAGATAAAGAAAGGAGCGTTCTTGGATCATAACTAAGAACACTGACGTGCAGCACAATGGAGGAGACAGCACGTTGGCTGTGGAGAGTTAGGACAGACCAGCCCCTGCTGGTCGGCTGTCAGGCCACGGCTCCAGCGCCTGTCCTTCTCTCCCAGCCCTTCTGTCCCCTGTACAGGGCAGGCTGGACAGCTTCTCCCTCCTGAACCAAGAGGAGTCATTACGACCACCTGAGACTTCTGTCCACATTCAACTCGAAATTAAGTAGTACCTGAAAGCAGGTGCCTGGATGGAGAAGGTCATGAACAGGCCAGATGCTTTTAGAGACTGAGCAGTTTAGAGAAACGAAACCAGAGAAAGAGAGGTGTAGAAGGATACAATGGAGGGCCTCCAGGGAGGCTGGTGAAAAGGCAGAGAACAGAATATTAGGGTAGAATGAACACAGTGGAGCAAAATATCAAGCAGAAAAAAACAAGGAAGGAAAGGAGGGATGGGGGGTGGAAAGGGAAGGAAAAAAAAAGGAAACTGTGTGCCAAGTTTTTAATAGTAAATACCTCTAAGGGTACCTGGGTGGCTTAATTGGTTAAGCTCTTGATTTTGGTATGATCTCAGGATCCTGAGATCCAGCCCCATGTTGGGCTGTGTGCTAAACCTGAAGCCTGCTAAAGATTCTCTCTGCCCCTCCCCCCTCCTCCCCACCCCATCCCTGCTCCCAAGCTCACTCACTCTCAAAAAAAAAAAAAAAGTAAATACCTCTAGAAATTTTCTAATTGAAAAACAGCAAACCTTATCAGTAAACTTAACTCACTGGAAGGCTCAGGCTTTTTTTTTCCTCCCCAAGGGGAAAAAAATGCGGAAAGCATATGTTTACACCTATAATTTTAAAGTTGACCTGCTTTTTGCAGTTTGCACATGTTTGCTACGAGAATCTGAAAAATTATCAAGTTTATCATGTTTCATCAAGTGTTCCTCTTGTTTCCACGTGTGGAAAAGAAAAAAGAAATAGTACAGAAGCTTCTATCACCTGATTCCTATTTGCTACCTTAAATGAAAAAAATTAAACTTGTTTTGTCTCCTTCTATATTTTAATAACCTCTATTTCATATTGGCAGCTCTGGTCAACTGGGAACACATGGACGGCCAGAGCAACACACCTCTAGAGGTCTCTTTGGACTTCACTCAAGCTTTCTTATTCCTCACGGATTTAAATTTTTTATTTAACAATGTCAGCAGTGAGTAGAACTGCAGAAGTAGTTTAATGAAGCACTAAGAACTGGATTCAATTTGGGGTTCTTGATTCTGTATGATCTAACCAATTCACAAAAGTGCTCAAATCCTACCATGGCAGATTCTAGACTCTAAAGAGAAAGTATGATGCATGTTGCTATCTTCAACAATTTAAGTGGGTAAAAATTAATTCAAGTACAACAGAACTGAGCCCACATCTAAATAGTTTTAACATAAGTTAAAAATATAAACACATATGTGGCCTATCAAAACAGGGAATACAGAGAACTCACTAATGCTATAATAGTTTTACATTCGT